ATATATATATATATATATATATATATATATATATATCACTGACAATGCAACCTGATCCTAGGTTCGCTTTTCAGAACAACCTATTGTGTCAGTGGGATTTCGAGCCTAAAATGACGCCATCAGCCTGTGTATTTGAGACGGTGATGACACTAGTTCAGTCGCTAAACTGGGTCATACACATTAATTATAATGTTCGTTCTGTTGTTAAGATGCCTAGCTCCTTGAAATTGGCTTCTCGAATGTATCTGAGAACCCGCGACATCCCGGATCGTGGTTGAGAAATAGCTCTTGCGTGATTAGCAACTCAGCTTTTACCTGTGACTAATAGACAATTACTTTTCCCATCGGCACTCTGTGCAGTGGGATTCCAACCTTGTGGTAACGGGTCCTTTATGAGTTTGATCCAAACACTACGGAATCGGCCCGACCGGCAGCTGAGTGTATGGAACGTATCCGACCTTACAAGACTGATGAACAACCGTTGTTATCTACAAAACCATATTCGTCTCAAGCAATGGGGGACGACCTGGTAGTGTTTGCCTAACCCAGCAAAGGTCGTGAATTAAACGACTGGATTAATCTGGTGTGGTGGAATAAGAGGTGTAATGGTGTTATCCACTCAGCATTCAGAAAATAAACCTCTGATGTTCAGGGGACGAGGCCTGTAGGCTACTGCATACGAAATTCCTTCCTCCAACTGCCCATGTCGAAAAACGGGCGCAGATGTACTGCTTTCTCAGGTTCGTTTAGCCACACACTGCCAAACCAACACCTTTTTTGTCGGATGTTACACTGAGGATAATGCTCACTGTGCTACACAAAATCAAATGTTGGACGTTAGAATAGCTTTCTGATTTATCTCTTGACATCAGAAGAACGCGCAAACGAACCTGTCTGTCTAAAGACTTGAGAAGGAGTTCTTGTATATACTCATTCTTTGCTACTCCAAAACAGACCTTTAGATGTTTAGTTAAATAAATTCATAATCTTAGTTCACAAAAAAAGGTGTTAAAGCATCTGCAATGAGAGCATGGTACCTTTGCCATTGAATCTCTTCCTGTAGCTTTTTGGGATGATTGTAGCCTTTCTTCAAGGAGGAACATAGAGCTAGAAGATAAGAGTGATAAGGTGATTTCAAATGCTATACTGTACTAAGGTGTATCCTCTTTCAACTCATCTAGATTGCTGAGGCCAAGGCGTGGACTGGTTTGGACCAACTGAAGAAAGAACATCAAGCTTGGCTGGCCGAGACCGGCCAGGACGAAAAGGCTGCAGAACTTCGCCAGAAGGAAGGAGACTTGATGGGTGCTGTGACATTGTACTTGAGAGCTGGGGTACCAGGTAAAGCGGCCCGTCTGGCACTGAGTGAGCCACACTTGTCTTCGGATCGAACGTTGATGGAGCGAATTATACAAGTAAGTGTACATTTTGTGTGAGCCTGAGATCGCCGATAGACTGCGCTTGTTTTATCACAGCAAGTGCTTTATGCCTTGTCAGTCGTCAAAAGGCGTAATGCATACGAATGAAAATTAGCATGCAACGAACTAATTACTACTAACGTAGGGCAACGACTGGCTTACAAAGCAGACAGTGGTGCAGCATAGCATGCTTGTATGACAGCTGACCCATGGTGTCGCTGTCAGTTCTGATGAAGACTTTGATCACTGAACCAACATAGTCAGAGTGAGCAAAAGAGTCTAATTTTGTTCGTAGAAGTTGGGTGAGTCCATGCTTAAGATATCAAACCTATTTTACCTCGTATCCTTCACTATGAAAGTTTTAATCTGCCAATGTGGATGCGCAGAGAAATCTCCTCCTTGCTGCTGAATTATCGGTGAAGTAAAACCAAAAGGACATCCAGAAGAGCAAAATAACAGTCTTCCCTCTGCTGCATGAGTGAAATTAAATAAGCGATCGATCCCGACAAGTGATCAACCAGAATTTCCCAACCAAGCTTATCTAAGGCCACCCTTATTTGCTTTGTCGCTACAGGCGCTGGTGAAATGTGAGCTCTTTGAAAAGGCTGGAGAAATGTACCAAAAGCTGGACCAGCTTGAAAATGCCATGCGCTGTTACCGTCAGGCCCATGCTTTTCAAAGGGCAGTTGAGCTGGCGCGATCATCGTTTCCATCGGAAGTCGTAAAGTTGGAGGAAAATTGGGGCGACTATCTGGTAACCCAGCAGCAGATGGACAGCGCCATTCATCACTTCATTGAGGCCGGGTGAGTGAGACTTGTTGTAGTATCCTTGCCGAAGTCTTTGGATTCCGGTAGAATGAGGTTGGGAAGAATTTTCTATTTACAGGATTCAGTTTGTCATCTCTAAAGTCCTGACAAGTTATGTCGAAGTTTCCCAATCACATCTTGGTAAAAATGTAACTTAAGTAGTGACCGTGATACGCAGAAGTTCCATTTTCAAACTCTATATGCAGGGCCTACTTGAAAGCAGTCGAGGCGGCCATCAACTCTCGACAGTGGAGCAAAGCGGCTCATATCCTGGCTTCAATAGAAGACAATAAATCTCCCCAAGTGTTGGCCCCCCACTTTCTCAAACTTGCCCAACATCATGCATCAAGTCACGAATTTGAAGCCGCCGAGACGGCATTTCGTAAAGCAAACAACATCTCCAAGGCCATTGAAATGTACAATTCCGCTGGAATGTGGGAACAAGCACACCGTTTGGCATCCGAAGCCATGGACCACGCTGAGTTGACAGAGTGAGTTTATTTACTATCTTCAGTCTGTTAGGAATAAACTCCCGGCATGGGAAGGTGAATCCAGCAATTCCATTTTTACACTCCCACTGTGTCAGTTGACCAAAGATTCGAAACATTAACCAGATATGGAGAACAAGTGGCCATGTAAATGAATATGCTTGTAAGAGAAAATCCTCTGGGTTTTAAAACTTTGACTGATTGCGTAGTTTTATCACTGCTATTTCATTGTACTTTGTTTCTCTACCTTCGTGTTACTGACCACTTTAGGCCTTTAGCAATGTGCTAAGTGAGTGTACTGGGTAATAAAGCTCAAGCAAGAACTATGATGCTCTATCTTAGGGTTACTGTCAGGAATTCGTAGGGATCGAAAAATGCAAGAGAGGATCAGGAGAATTCTGGCGAATTACAAACCGATAAAGAATTAGATGTAGCAATCAGAACAACTTTGAAAGGGGGAAGACATCTCTTTCGAAGTGAAGTATTTTCAGGTCTCTGTGCTCTAAAACAGTGTAGGCGTTAATTTTCCTCCTATATGTATCGTATTCCTCGACAAGATTTACGTTTCATGTACTGTTTAAGTTGTCCATGTCATTATGTGGAAGGGCATTGAATAAGATGCCTGGCAGCACACCGATGCCTCTAGCGCTGAAGTATAGCTGCCCGAGAAGTAACTACATGAAAGTTCCCTCCAAATCTTGCTAAACTTCGTCATCTGATGATACAACTTCAATCATTGGCTTTTTACGAAGCTTTTCAAAGGAGTTTCTCGGGGTATTCTAAGTTTCCGGAAATAAAATGGAAAGTGCAAGAATCTACTTGATGACTTCAACATTTAGTTTTTATCTCATGACTATTGATTCAGAGCAGCACGGATGAATCCAGACAATATCTAAAATGTGCTGCTTCTGAATAGGCTTCTTCACTCGGACATTCAGAAAGCTGAACAGGGGTACGCAATCAATAGCTGGATGATATCATGAAGAATCAGGCGTGACTCACATTGGTACACAGAACCGATGATCGAAGTTGTGGTAGACCGGGAGATTGAAATATGTCTGTTATTCGCCTTGAGTAATATTCATCAAGTGAGTAATGGTGGACTTTCGGTCTGTGCTTAACGGTTGCAAAAAAACTCGAAAAACAGAATACATTTCTACCAAATGTACAAGCTTTGTACCCAAAAACTGCATTCAGTCTCGTTTCACAAGACCAGTAGCTCAAACGACGCCGATACTTGCTTTATTATTTATTCAGCATGTATCTTGCACAAGCTGAAGAGCATGAGAATGAAGGAAGATTGAAAGAGGCCGAACGATTGTATCTGACTGTCAAGGAAACCGATCGTGCAATATCCATGTACAAACGCAATAGGCAATATCGAGATATGCTGCGTTTGGTTCGCACTTACAGTCCAGAACTTTTGGAGCAAACTCACATGCATTTGGCGCAAGAGTTGGAGAAGGAGGGTAATCTAAAGCAGGCAGAGCAGTACTATATGGAAGTAAGTGATTCCCATATACTTATCCTGCTAACTCATCACTACTGAAAACAGTAGCTAAGACTACAATGCAGACCAATTAGTCCATTCATATGCAGCTGGATAATGAACCAGGAAAGGTGGACTGACCTAGTACCAGACTATCACCGGTATGTAGGATAGAAACTGCCAGTATGGGTTCAATTCAGTCACTCAGCTATACACCATGAAACAAAGGCAGGTCACTGTGAAACGAGAGAGATATTTACGAATTGAATATCAAGTTGGTGGAACGGGAGAGAAACCAATGGACGAAACCTAACTACCAACGAAACAGCATATATTGCTGCTGCAACATGAGGGTAGTTCTTATTCGATGCTGCTTCGGGCATCAGCCCCAGGCCGACTCAACGACTGAGTTTTAGATTGTTTAGCCGTTTGTCTGTGTTTGTTCATTTGTGCCGATTATTCAAGTGACGTCCGGAAATGCTCATTGGTACGCTAGATAACGATAACTTTCTAAAAACTGTGAACAGTTCTGTGTACTCCATGACCACAGCCTTGACCACCAGAGCACGGAACTTTTCGGAGATCCAGTCTGTTCATGGCCATTCTTGGAGCATGCCTGAGCTTTATCTGTCTTTATGTCGACAATCGATTTGGCACTTCTGATGAAACCTGGTTCTAAACTCGTCTCCTGAACAGAAACATGTATTGCCCTGCTTTGTCATCTATGCGCATTGAATATAATGGCGGTCAGTCAGTATTCAGTCAGCATCTGCCTACTAGCCTCATCAGTTTGCATACAGCCTCCTTTCTTTTCAGCCCCATTGACATCCCGTACTCCCTCTTCCCGTCAATCACCATTACCTTCTGTATCGTGGGCCGTGTTGCTCCTCTAATTGCAGCTCACCTAGATGACCAGCTACGGAGATTAGCCGTACGCAATTGTTTTATCTGCTTGCTTGAATGCACCTCTTCAGTACAGCAAGTTCGAGTAGTTACTTCACTTCCAGAGGCTAAGCCCTCTGCTGCTCTCGTGATTCCACTAACTCCCATGCTAGATGCCCCGAACCTTGACTTTTAGATTTTCGGTTGCAGATTACTTCACCCCCATCTTTGAGGATCAAAGCGAAGCAAAAGCCCTGTTGAATAGACTGACCACCATCATACCATCTTTTGGCATGCGCCTTGCATCTTCAAAGTGCAAAGTCATGCTTTAGAATGTGCGGTTTCCGAACATGTCCCTTACAATTCAAGGAGAATCACTGGAGATTTTGGAAAACTTCACATACCTCGGTAGTCGTATCAGCTGTGACGGAAGTGTCTGATGAAGCCAGCGCAAGACTTTCAAAGGCTCGAATCATGTCTGCTAATTTGCGTCACCTGTGGTGTCAAGAAGGCATCTCACTAGATCTTAAGGGTCGTGTGTACCAGTCTAAAGTAAGGGCTGTGTTGTTGTATGGGTGCGAGACATGGCCTCTGCGGACAGATGATGTGAGGCGTCTTCAGGTTTTCGACCGCCGATTCTTAAAAAGCATGACTGGTTTCGGATGGCGTCAGAGTGTTAGTAACAAGGTGATTAGAAAACGGGTATTTGGTTGTGCTGCAGGCACCTCAATCCGAGAAAACATCCAGTACCACCGACTACGATGGCTCGGTCGTGTGCTACGCATGCCGAAACACCCTCTCCCGAGACGAGTGTTGTTCTCCGTACCTCCTTCAGAATGGCGAGAATTTGGAGGTGGACAACGCATGACTTGGCAGAAGGGTATGGAAGAAATCGCGGGGGGGGGTGGGTGTTGTTGTTCTTGTACGCCTTCCAGGATGGGGTCCCAGTGACCCCACCCGCGGTTGGCTGGAGATGTTGCAAGAAATGGCGGCTAATCGATGTCAGTGGCGTTCGTGCTGTCAGTTTCTTATCAGATTGCCTGATTGAGCGGTTGGAGGTATAGGCACCTCAGAATGCTTGACATGGGTCAGCACTAGGTTCTTTCCCTCACCCACTCTTTCTCTCTTCTTTCTACTCTAGAGCTTTTAATATATA